AAACTGCTTATCCGGACACGTAACCCTTTTAAGATTTCGGGTCAGTGTTTTTGTGAAGTCAAACTTGTAAAGTCCAGCACAGACATGGGGCATTTATGTCGACGAACAAAAACATCAAACAAATATTTGATCCCGTAGATGAACGAATGTTTTAGGTCGAATAGTAAGTCTAGCGCCACATAAAATCACCGCAGACGAAATAAAATTGGGCTATTTTTAGTCCCGAAATGACCTAATTTGTGTCGTGTGGGCGTTAACTCCCAAATCCCCGCCCCCCCCCCCCTCTCTCTCTCAAAGTCTAACCATCTGTATCGATAGAATGGAAGTGCTCGTCCTTGAGGATACTTCAATGTCTGTGAGGATTAACTACAATGTATAGGCTATAAAATTCACTTTGTCTTATGGTCATATAAGCTCCTCACACGACAAGATTCATGTTCCAATTTACGTGGTACGTTTTACAGATTTCTTGCACGCATAAATGTATTTATCATTATCAATTAATCATGTTAGGTTGATTTTGGCTCCATATCTGAAATGATGTCTAGCTGGGAGTTCGATCCCGGTGTTGAGAAATTACATAGGTAATTTCTGGGCCCCCCCCCCCCTCTTGTCAATGTTGCAGTACGGGGCCTGACAAGGAACAACGTATATTCATTCGGATGGTCCAACAAACCGAGGTTCCGTATTCCATTTGTCAACGTCTGGTCGATCGTATGGTGCCAAAAACAGAGGGAAACGCCACTGTAGAAGTAAATATTTTCCCACAACACAATGGCGTAGAAAAATAGGGCTGCTGATTGTACGAAAATCACACATTTAGCTTGTGGGCCCTCTATAGGTCACAACTTTTATTGATTGTAACAAACGTTCGAATATACCACAGTTACACCATTAAGGCTGAGTTCAAATTCAAAGTTCAAATGTACACTCTCCTTTACACAAATAGTGTAAAAGCATACTCAGGGCGACCTTCGAGTGTAAACTGTGGTCGCGACTACAGTTTGAACCAGCACCCGAACGAAAATGGCCCGGAAGATTGGCTATTCACTATGGCGGCGCCCATGTCCGTTGTTTCGCCTGCTATATTTTCTGCTATTTACTCATTTTTGGACGATGGGGATGAAGAAATGCTTTTAAAACATTTTCTTACAAAGCTGACTCCATCCGGGTTAACTGTTTTTTTGTCGCGGGCCTATATATAATATATCATATTCTCTAATTTCTGGGTGTTACCATGAACCCTGAAATACGGTCCATGGTGTAAATAACGCATTGGCAATTTTATGATATTTTTCAGACAAATCTACACACGTGTAACTCTTTTCAGCCAGGGGGGTTGGATGGCCAAATGGTTAGCACGTGCGCGCTGCGCGCTGTATCATAAGGCCTGTCATTGAGTCAACTGGCGTGGTTTCGAATCCCCGGTTGTACGTGACTGCTAAACCCCCTACGCGCAAGCGAATTATTGAAATAAAATTAAACCATATGTTAGTCCCGAAATGACCTAGTTTGTGTCGAGTTAAACCCCATTTTTCTCTCTCTCTCTCTCTCTCTCTCTCTCTTTTCAGCCATCTTTGTAATATCTCGACCGTGCTCTATCGCATGGTACCGCGTACAGATAGTTCGACTAGAGAACGGAAATCCGTGCAACCGAAGGTGGCCCTGTCGTGAACCATCTAGAGGTCAAAATTTATTTCCGATTTGCACTTATCGGACCGTAATTTTCTAGATTACGAAACCTGATTGTACGAAAAGTCACAATTTTAAATTGTGGATCCTCTAGAGGTAGCATTTTTTATCTTTTTTTTTTAAAAAAATCGTTCAAATATATCACCGTTACACCATAATTATGGTTGAGTCCGAATTTCCTGAAAATCGGACCGAAACTTCCCGTCAAATGGCCGCCCCCCTTACGCAAATAGTGTAAAAGTACGTAATACCAAGGTGGTAACAATTTTTATCCGATAATATAATATTATATTTATCTCATTTCTATACCCCAGCATTTCTTATCTCTTTATAGATATCTGGTAAATAAACGGATTTAAACAACTTATGTAGATATTATTTGTTGGGAAATCGACCGTACTACAAACAAACAATTAGTTCATCAGAAGACCAGAATATTATATAATTTAATCTACTCGCACTGTCTACAATCGATCCCCCATCATGTAATGTGTAGTATTCTCGAGGCAAATTATTTAGATCTCTGACATAGTGACTGGTCGGTGTGTATTCCTCAAAGTCAACTGAAACCAGAATAGAATTTAAAAGTATCATACAATACAGCGTTGTCAGTTAGCGAAAAAGCGCTCATCTTATAACGGAATAGTAAAAAAACCCACTGGAAGTTGGTTATTCAATAATTTCATCAAACTGATCAGCAGCAGTAAATTTGCACCTGGCAGCTACTATCACTCAATGCTCAATATTAACTTTTTTTCTTTCAAAATAAATTTTAAAATAATTTTTAAGTTTTTAAAAATATAATAACAAAAGTATTGGAAGTATATCTGGATACAAATATTTCATATTTAGTGTAAATGGGTACCTAAAATAGTACACGAAGGCGTATACTGAGTAAAAGGTAACTACGTCCGATGTAAACAACGCAGGTGTTATAACACCGTATGATGTGACGTTACACGTAGACATATACTCCACGTAAACTTAAGACTAGTCATCTTGCACATAATTAAAAGAAGCCTGTCGTATTACTACTGTTAAACAGATTGAGGTTTCATATGGAGACCACTCATCCGTTCTGTATGTATACCAACTGTAGTTTTAAGCCTTTAACCTGATTGGTATTTTCTTAAATCATAATTACCACTTCATTTGGGGAATATTGGAGTTTTACTACCTGTAATCTATTGGGCCAAGACATGGGGGTATTCAAGTTGGCGGTCGTGTAATCAATAAAATTACCTTCGATCTTTTTAATTAGGAGGAAATCCATCTTCTCTAAGAAAAGCGATTACCATAATTGACGTCATTGTCTTGGGAAAAGATTGTACTTGATTCTATGTTCAAGTAAATCAGATCCTTTTCGTCTCTCATTTTCTACTAACATACAAAATAGCGTGAGTAATTAATAAGATCCTAAGTAACAATCACAATTCTTTACTGGTTTTATAATTAATGTCTAAAAGTGTTACGTGTTATTTGTGATCCATACCATCTAGACATACACCATTATTTCTTCAATGACCGTTTATGTAAGATGTCGGCCGTAGCCTCCATATAAAGTAAACTCGGTATTTACATTGATGTTTGTTTAACTAACCAATTTTTTTATGATGTGCGACAAAATTAATGTTCAAAAACGAAATGTACCAAGTGGACCCCCTGGTCACTGAGGCAGCGCCATACCATACTCACCGAGCTTTCGTGGCTCACATATCGTTGGGTTAGAGCAAAAACATAGTAAGTGACATTTTTTAATTGTGGAGAAAAACGACTTTAAAGGTTAAAACCTTTCTGGTAAATCCAATTTTTTTGCAAATCATTTCATATTTCTCCAGTTGACTAATGATATTAAGGGTAAATGAAATGTTTTAGTGCAATTTTGGAATTAGAGTTATTTACACCCATTCTGTCCAAAATATCACTTACGATGTTTTTGCTCTGAATTAAATTCAATATTCACTCGATTAGGTTAGTGCAAAAACATCATAAGTTTTATTTCGGCTTTACTTTACCCGCACTGGTAATTGAGCAGGCCCTATGGGGTGATTGGGGAGTAAGGAGGCGCTTTTAGTGATCTTCCAATCATCATTAAATATATATTTTTCATTAATATATATATATATATATATATATATATATATATATATATATATATATATATATGTGCAAGATCTGACCCGTGAGGTTCACAAACTTGTGAGGTTCAAATGTCTATAGGTGTTACTTGTCGACCCCATCTTGCGAGGTTGTCATTGCCCCTTCACAGGTACAAATGCAATTTTGACTTCTAACACCCCTATATATATACTCCACAAGGAATAAGTACAGCCATTTGCTTATCCCCCCTTAGACCACAAATGGAAACGGGTTTCTATATGTCTTCACAAGTACAAACGCTTATATATACCCCACAACGCATTGGTACAGCCATGCAGATTTAGTTCCCCTTTGACCACATGTGCAACGTCTGTAAATGTCATCAAAAAATGGACCATTAATTTAATTTAACAATGATGAGGTGCTTGTTTGCCCAAAATTTGTGGGAACGCAGCCAGTTTTGGGCAAGGATTAGTCCTAAGGAACTGTTATTGTACTGTTGCTCAGTGGATGTCAAACAGCAGACCCAAGGGTATGGGCCATAGTTGTTTTTTTTCCAGGTATCTCAAACCCGAGGCTCAGTGATGTACTGGCTCGCTAACCAGGTGGTCTCGGGTGTTTGCTCCTGGTGTTGGAAGAGAAAGTTCCTCAGGATTTTTCAACGTGGTTCTCCCATGTCAGTTGTACAGAACAGAGGGCCAGGCAGGGGAACAATATCTAGTCAATGGGAAATCGGTGCTCACATGGGCATGCATTTAAAGGAACCCTTGGAAGTTGTAATTCTAAATAATTGTAGGCTGTAGTGCCACTGTCTGGACAAACTTTCACCCTTAGTACACTGCATGGTATATGACTGTCTTCATTATCCCAGTCGGTGTAGAAAAGTAGGTCATTAAACACCATTTCATTTCCAATCTCTTGCTACAAAAGGTTATTATAATTCATGGACCTTGTCGGTACCCGCGTCTGATTGAAATAACCATGCTACATATATTTGTGACTTTTTTGGGTTACACCAGGGCTTTGCTAAAATTTGGTTTATAAGGGCAGGTCAGGCCATGGAGTGATATTATCTTAGTGATGCTGCACTACCACTTCCAGAGTTTTTCAACTTCCTGTTTTAGGAGTCCTCCTGTTGTGTAGGGTGAAAAGGCGATGTCACAGATAAAATGAATAAAATCTTAAGAAACATAAAAATGTTTATTTTTCTTTATTTTATAATAAATGGTTGCCTTTCATGATATGGGCACATTTTGACTTTATTTGAGCGTCACTTCTATGGGTAAATCGTTTATTTTTTTGCTTCAAATGCCGTATCAATTGAAACGAGGGATACATCCAATTTCGGAGTAGATCCCCAAACTCTTGGATCAAAAGTTCAACATCGTTACTTGTCCATTTGTTAATTTTTCTACTGTCCTTACAGACTGAAAATAAAAAAAAAAATGAAATGATTAGATAATTCATGAGGCAAGTTGCACAAATGTTATGGCAATGGAGTTTAATGTTCAACTTTCAGTGTGGGCTATGAAGAAAATGTTTGCCCAGACAGCAACGTCTCTGTCTACTCGTTTACCCAGATTTTCCGACGTGGTTTCCCCTTGTCAGTGATGCAGGGTGGAGGGTCTGACAAGGCGGCTGTCTAGTCATTTGGATGATACGAAAAGCCGAGGTCCCGTGTACACATTGGTGTGCACGTAAAAGATGAACAATGCACATACCTTTTCGTGTAGGGGTATCACAGTCCGAATCCGAACTTATTCTTTTTCTTCTTTTAATTTTACTACCTGTAATGTAAGAAATCAACATTGTTTCAGGCAATTCTAAATAACAGATAAATTAAAAGATGTGTTTCATACTATATGTTTGGCACAACATGGACAATTCGTTGTGGAGAAGATGATAACTTTTGTGCAAGGATTGCGTCTGGGGGCGGAACTTTTAAATATTATTGTACTTTGTCGCTCAATTCATGCCAAACAGCAGGCCCCATTTTTTTTTACCTGGGATCTATCTCACTGAGACAGGGAATATTGATTTTGTATATTAAAGAGATATTTGTCTCTGTATGTTTACTGTTTTTATCAAAAATACAGATGGTCAGCTCTGGACATCTGAAGAAGATGAATAATGCACATACCTTTTCGTGTAGGGATTTCGGAGTTCGAATCCGAACTTATTCTTTGTCTTCTTTTAATTTTACTACCTGTAATGTAAGAAATCAACAAGGTTTCAGGCAATGTCCAGTCCATCATCGAACCTGAAACTGTAGCAGTCGAATTTTGTATGGATGGGGAATTGACAATTTACCAATAGAAGATCAAGTAGTGCTACAATCCATAAGATAGAGATAAATGGAGTTTAATGTCCACTCAACACAAACCAGGACATTTAGGGACTAACATTTGGTTCAATTTTATTTCAATTATTCCCTTGCGCATAGAAATCTTTAGCAGTGGGAGAACACTGGATTACCCAGAAAAAAAAATCATGAAGATGGTCAAACAGCCTTACTCCTTGCAACGTACAAGCCGAGAATGGAAACAAAGCCACTTGACACAATGACAGACCTTGTAATTTTATGTTCACACATTAACCATTCCCCCCACCCCTAAATTAAAAGGAAGTGTTTCAAACAGTATGTTTAATATATTCATAGTATAACCATACCTGCTGGCTCTGCCACATAGCTTTTTGGGGAAATATGACAACCATCATTCTCATCAATTATACATGTATCACTATCATCAGATCCTTCTCCTGCTAACAAAAATATTTGAACTTAAACTTTGTCCCAGAAGAAACAATTGTCACATTCTGCTAGTATAACATATTTTTATGCTATTTGAGAACGAGGGGCGGCCATTTTGTCTGTCAGTTTTGGGCCGATTTTGACGAAATTCGAACTCAGTCGTCCTTAGGCTGTAACGGTGATATAATAATACGGTTTTTTTTAAATCGGATAAAAATTATGACCTCTATAGGGTTCACAAGCTAAAAACGCGATTTTTTGTACAATCAGTGACCATAATTCAGGAAGCTACGTTCCGATACGCGCAAATATCGAAAGGAACCGAGATCTTTGGGTTATAAACTTACATTGCAAGTTTCAACAAATCGGATAAAAATTGTGACGTCTATAGGGTCCACGACCTTGATTTACCATATTTTTAGGCTATCTGAGAACGAACGGCGGCCATTTTGTCTGTCAATTTTGGGCCAATTTTTACAAAATTCGAACTCAGCCATCCTTAGGGTGTCACGGTGATATAATACGTTTTTTTTTAAATCCGATTGAAATTATGACCTCTATAGGGTCCACAAGCTAAAAACGCGATTTTTCGTACAATCAGGGGCCATAATCCATGAAGTTTCGATCCAATACATGCCAATATCGAAAGGAACCGAGATCTTTTGGAGATAAACCTATATTTCAAGTTACAGTCCGATATGCGCGAATATCGAAAGGAACCGAGATCTGTGGGTGATCAACTTACATTTCAAGTTTCAACAAAATCGGATAAAAATGGTGACCTCTATAGTGTCCACAAGCTAAAAGCGTGATTTTTCGTACAAACAGGGGCCATAATCCATGAAGTTTCGATCCAATACATGCCAATATCGTAAGGAACCGAGATCTTTTGGAGATAAACCTATATTTCAAGTTTCGTCAAAATCGGATAAGAATTGTGACCTGTAGAGTGTCCACAAACAAATTGTGGACGGACGGACGTTCAGACGTCCGGACGTACAGTGGCGACGACAATATACGTCCACATGAAAATGTGAGCGTATAAAAATTGTGACCTCTATAGTGTCCACAAGCTAAAAACGTGATTTTTCGTACAAACAGGGGCCATAATCCATGAAGTTTCGATCCAATACATGCCAATATCGAAAGGAACCGAGATCTTTTGGAGATAAACCTATATTTCAAGTTTTCGTAAAAATCGGATAAGAATTGTGACCTGTAGAGTGTCCACAAACAAATTGTGGACGGACGGACGTCAGGAGGTCCGGACGTCCGGACGGACAGGGGCGACGACAATATACGTCCACATAAAAATGTGGGCGTATAAAATTGTGACCTCTGGAGGGTTACGATCCGCTATGTGCCAAGGTCGAAAGGAACCAAGATTTTTGGATTATAAAAATATATTTTAAGTTTCATCAAAATCGAACACAATTTTCACACATAGAGAACCTGCAAGCTAAAACGTTATTTTTCATACAATCAGAGGCCATAATCCATGAAGTTACGACCCAATCCATGTCAATATCAAGAGGAACCGACAACTTTAGCATATCAATCTATATTTCAAGTTTCGTCAAAATCGGATGAAATTTGTGACCTGCAGAGTGTCTACAAACGTGAACGGACGTTCGGACGACAATGTACATCGACATGAAAATGGGGGCATATAAAATAAATTGATGACCGTTGACGATATACAGAGATATAACAATAGTTAAATCCAAATTACACAAGAACTTCATCAATATTTGAATCAACATGTTACAGTAAAGGAACACCTGCTAACAGGTCTTTGACACACATTTAGTAAGGATATCGGTTTAAACTACAAGAAGAAACGACCCCAAATGTTCTATTCTAGGGAAATGAATAAGACTGTCTATATAGTATCGCCTAATGTGTGAACTTTACTGGATCTTTTTCCGTTCTGCATCAGAAGCCCAAGATGTGAGTGAGTGAGTGAGAGAGAGAGAGAGAGAGAGAGAGAGAGAGAGAGTTTAACATCCACTCGACACATCTAGGTAATTTCGGTACTAACATATGATTCAATTTTATTTCCATAATTCGCTTGCGCGTAGGGGTCTTTAGCAGTGTGAGGAAACCGGAGGACCCGGCGAAAACCCACGAGGTTGGACAGGCGACCCTCCTCCTTGAAACGTACAACCGAGGAATCGAAACCCCACCAGTTGACTCAATGACAGACTTTATGATACAGCGCCCAAGTGCTAACCATTCAGCCATCCAACCATCCTATATCATAGATGTAAATCAGCCACAAATTCTATTAGATTAACAATGTCATATACCTTGAGTTCAGTTCTGTGTAAATATTGATTACAGTTCCCAAAGAACAGAAGTTCCAAATAGGTATGGATGTACTTGTGTACTTGTTCTAAGAAGTAATGGTAAGTCTGCAGTCTCCAACCATTACATTAACCAGAATACAAGAAATCTGAATCCATTTTGGTGTTATGTTTCTGCATTAGAGAAGAAACTGTTTATGTTTGAAGACTAGCTATCTCATCATTTCGAACTTGTGAAACCTACAAGAATTCTGTTCTCCAAACAATAACACAAAAAACCCGTCTCAACCTACAAGAATTCTAATCTCCAGAATATAACAGAACTGCTGAAACATGTTCCGCTAGTATCCACCATTCTGTATCCACCATACTGCCTTGCCTGCAGACTCTGCCATCTATATCCACCATTCTGCATCCACCAACCTGGTTCTGGAAAAAGAAACTTAGGTGTCCGAAAGCAATTAGTACCTGTGCAATGACAAACAAAAATGACATGAAAACCAAATTAACTTAATCCCTATTGAACTGGACTGTTCAGCTGGTATTATCAGAATTAAGAGACGCCCAGTCTGCAGCCTTCCACTACGTCAAAAAAAATCAGTAAAAAAAACAGTACTTTCTTTTTATTCCAAATCGTCTAAACAGATCACCATACTGCCTTGTCTGCATCCTCTTCCGTCTGTGTCCACCATTCTGTATCCACCATACTGCTTTGCCTGCATGCTCTGTCATCTGTATTGAACATTCTGCATCCACCAACCTGGTTCTGGAAAAACAAACTTAGGTGGCCGAAAGCAATTAGTACATGTGCAATAACAAACAAAAATGAAATGAAAACCAAATTAACTTAATCCCTACTGAACTGAATTGTTCAGCTGGTCTTGTACCCATAATTGAGAGCCGCTCAATCATACAATTAAGGGGCTATGATTCACGAAGATACGGCTCAATACATGTCAATATTAGGGATATTAAGTTTCGTCAAAAATCGGATGAAAGTTGTGACCTGTAGACTGTCCACAAAGAAATGTGAACCGACGTTCGGACGAAAATATACATCCACATGAAAATGTAGGCGTATAAAAAAAATAAATTGATGACCGTTGGCGATATACAGAGACATAACATTGGTTAAATCCATATTACACAAGAACTCCATCAATATTTTAATCAACATGTTACAGTAAAGGAACACCTAGTAACAGGTCTTTGACACACATTTACATAGACAAGTGATTTGATGGACTTTTAATAAGGATATCGGTTTAAACTACAAGATGAAACAACCCCAAATGTTACATTCTAGAAAAATGAATAAGACTGCCTATATAGTATCGTCGAATGTGTAAGCTTTACTGGATCTTTTTCTATTCTGTATCAGAAGCCCATTGCCTAATATGGACTGCCAACTACCAGTTATCAGAAATAACTGGGTGGCCAACCACAAGTCATCAGTGATAACTGGCTATGTCGAGGACCAATCAATGGGGTGTGCACATCAGAAAACGCAATAGAAGCGAGATAGAAGTCGCCAGAATATCGCATAGATGTAAATCAGCCACAATCCTGTTAGATAAACAATGTCATATACCTTGAATTCTGGTCGGTGTAAATGTTGATTACAGTTCCCAAAGAACAGAAGTTCCAAATGGGTATGGATGTGTTTGTGTACTTGTTCTAAGAAGTAATGGTAAGTCTGCAGCCTCCAACCATTACATTAACCAGAATACAAGAAATCTGAATCCATTTTGGTGTTATGTTTCTGCATATACAATGTCATATACCTTGAATTCAGGTCTGTGTAAATGTTGATTACAGTTCCCAAAGAACAGAAGTTCCAAATGGGTAGGGATGTGTTTGTGTACTTGTTCTAAGAAGTAATGGTAAGTCTGCAGCCTCCAACCATTACATTAACCAGAATACAAGAAATCTGAATCCATTTTGGTGTTATATTTCTGCATTAGAGAAGAAACTGTTTATGTTTGAAGACTGGCTATCTCATCATTTCGAACTTGTGAAACCTACAAGAATTCTGTTCTCCAAACAATAACACAAAAAACCCGTCTCGACCTACAAGAATTCTAATCTCCAGAATATAACAGAACTCAGAACTGCTGAAACATGTTCCGCTAGTAGCAAGAAGAAAACAATGTTATATATTATGTGGACTAGGGAAAATAATGTCGGTGTTGTGTTCTCCTGATAGAGATAAACATCTTCAGTCTCTTTTTATTGGTTGATGAAGTTATGACATGTTAATCTATCTAGCCTAGAAATAACAACTAGACTCGATCCCTCGAGTAACTTTACACCAAATTCCAACTAAAAGTCAATGTTACTAAGAACCCCTATTTTAAAATGTGTTTTAACTTGTCAATGGAATGTCCTTTACTGTACATATTAGACCAATGAAAAATTTAGAAAATATATACAGTTCATACATAAACCTGATATTGCCAATCTAGAGTTTCCAGGAAATAAAGGATGGGAGGTCTTGGGGAAATAAACCTATATTTCAAGTTTCGCCAAAATCGTATAACAATTTTGACCTGTAGAGTGTACACAAACAAATGCGAACGGACACGTGGACGTATAAAAAGTCTTCAATGAATTTAAAACGAAAATTAAGTTAATCCAGACTGAACTAAATGGAACTGAACTAAACTGTTCAGCTGTTCTTATATCCCCATAATTGAGAGCCGCTCAGTCTGCAGCCTGCCACTACCCTCAAGAAAAGCAATCAGACAAACTGTACTCTCCTTTTATTCCATATCGTCCAAACAGATCACCATACTGCCTTGCCTGCACCCTCTTCCATCTGTGTCCACCATTCTGTATCCACCATACTGCCTTGGCTACATGCTCTGCAATCTTTATCCATCATTCTGAATCCACCAACCTGGTTCTGGAAGAACATACTTAGGTTGCCGAAAGCAATTAGTACATGTGCAATGAAAAAAAAAATCTAATGAAAACCTAATTAACTTAATCCCTACTGAATTGGACTGTTCAGCTGGTATTATCAGAATTAAGACACGCTCAGTCTGCAGCCTGCTTCCATCTGTGTCCACCATTCTGTGTCCACCATTCTGTATCCACCATTCTGCCTTGCCTGCATGCTATGCCATCTGTATTGACCATTCTGTATCCACCAACCTGGTTCTGGAAAAACAAACTTAGGTGGCCGAAAGCAATTAGTACATGTGCAATGACATGTAAACCAAATTAACTTAATCCCTACTGAACTGGACTGTTCAGCTGGTATTATCAGAATTAAGAGACGCGCAGTCTGCAGCCTGCCACTACCACTAAGAAAATCAATCAAAAAAACTGTACTCTCCTTTTATTCCAAATCGTCTAAACAGATCACCATACTGCCTTGCCTGCATCCTCTTCCGTCTGTGTCCACCATTCTGTATCCACTATTCTGTATCCACCATTCTGTATCCACCATTCTGTATCCACCATACTGCCTTGCCTGCATGCTCTGCCATCTGTATTGACCATTCTGCATCCACCAACCTGGTTCTGAAAAAACAAACTTAGGTGGCCGAAAGCAATTAGTACATGTGCAATGACAAACAAAAATGAAATGAAAACCAAATTAACTTAATCCCTACTGAACTGGACTGTTCAGTTGGTATTATTAGAATTAAGAACAAAAATGACATGAAAACCAAATTAACTTAATCCCTATTGAACTGGACTGTTCAACCGGTATTATCAGAATTAAGAGACACAGTCTGCAGCCTGCAATTACCCCCAAGAAAATCAATCAAAAAAACTGTACTCTCCTTTTATTCCAAATCGTCTAAACAGATCACCATACTGCCTTGCCTGCATCCTCTTCCGTCTGTGTCCACCATTCTGTATCCACCATTCTGTATCCACCATACTGCCTTGCCTGCATGCTCTGCCATCTTTATTCACCATTCTGAATCCACCAACCAGGTTCTGGAAGAACAAACTTAGGTGGCCGAAAGCAATTAGTACATGTGCAATGACAAACAAGAATGAAATGAAAACCAAATTAACTTAATCCCTACTGAACTGGACTGTTCAGCTGGTATTATCAGAATTAAGAGACGCTCAGTCTGCAGCCCGCCACTACCCCAAAGAAAATCAGTCAGAAAAAAAATCTACTTTCCTTTTCTTCCAAATCGTCCAAACAGATCACCATACTGCCTTGCCTGCATCTGCTTCCATCTGTGTCCACCATTCTGTATCCACCCTTCTGCCTTGCCTGCATGCTATGCCATCTGTATTGACCATTCTGTATCCACCAACCTCGTTCTGGAAAAACAAACTTAGGTGGCCGAAAGCAATTAGTACATGTGCAATGACAAACAAAAATGACATGAAAACCAAATTAACTTAATCCCTACTGAACTGGACTGTTCAGCTGGTATTATCAGAATTAAGAGACGCTCAGTCTGCAGCCTGCCACTACCCCCAAGACAATCAGTCAGAAAAAAACTGTACTCTCCTTTTATTCCAAATCGTCCAAACAGATCACCATACTACCTTGCCTGAATCGGCTTCCATCTGTATCCACCATTCTGTATCCACCATTCTGTATCCACCATACTGCCTTGCCTGCATCCCCTGCCATCTGTATAAACCATTCTGCATCCACCAACCTGGTTCCTGAAAAACAAACTTAGGTGGCCGATAGCAATTAGTACATGTGCAATGACAAACAAAAATGACATGAAAACCAAATTAACTTAATCCCTACTGGACTGTTTAGCTGGTATTATCAGAATTAAGAGACGCGAAGTCTGCAGCCTGCCACTACCCCCAAGAAAATCAATCAAAAAAACTCTACTCTCCTTTTATTCCAAATCGTCTAAACAGATCACCATACTGCCTTGCCAGCATCCTCTTCCGTCAGTGTCCACCATTCTGTATTCACCATTCTGTATCCACCATACTGCCTTGCCTGCATGCTCTGCCATCTGTATTGACCATTCTGCATCCACCAACCTGGTTCTGAAAAAACAAACTTAGGTGGCCGAAAGCAATTAGTACATGTGCAATGACAAACAAAAATGAAATGAAAACTAAATTAACTTAATCCCTACTGAACTGGACTGTTCAGCTGGTATTATCAGAATTAAGAGACGCTCAGTCTGCAGCCTGCCACTATCCCCAAGAAAATCAGTCAGAAAAAAACTACTCTCCTTTTATTCCAAATCGTCTAAACAGATCACCATACTGCCTTGCCTGCATCCTCTTCCGTCTCTGTCCACCATTCTGTATCCACCATTCTGTATCCACCATACTGCCTTGCCTGCATGCTCTGCCATCTGCATCCACCATTCTGCATCCACCAAACTGGTTCTGGAAAAAGAAACTTAGGTGTCCGAAAGTAATTAGTATATGTGCAATGACAAACAAAAATCACATGAAAACCAAATTAACTTAATCCTTATTGAACTGGACTGTTCAACTGGCATTATCAGAATTAAGAGATGCACAGTCTGCAGCCTGCCACTACCCCCAAGAAAGTCAATCAAAAAAACTATCCTCTCCTGTTATTCCAAATCGTCTAAACAGATCACCATACTGCCTTGCCTGCATCCTCTTCCGTCTGTGTCCACCATTCTGTATCCACCATACTGCCTTGCCTGCTTGCTCTGGCATCTGTATTGACCATTCTGCATCCACCAACCTGATTCTGAAAAAAAAAGACTTATGTGGCCGAAAGCAATTAGTACATGTGCAATGACAAACAAAAATGAAATGAAACCTAAATTAACTTAATCCCTACTGAACTGGACTGTTCAGCTGGTATTATCAGAATTAAGAACAAAAATGAAATGAAAACCAAATTAACTTAATCCCTACTGAACTGGACTGTTCAGCTGGTATTATCAGAATTAAGAGACGCACAGTCTGCAGCCTGCCACTACCCCGAAGAAAATCAATCAAATAAACTGTACTACTGCCTTGCCTGCATGCTCTGCCATCTGTATTCACCATTCTGCATCCACCAACCTGGTTCTGGAAAAAGAAACTTAGGTCTCCGAAAGCAATTAGTACATGTGCAATGAAAAACAAAAATGACATGAAAACCAAATTAACTTAATCCCTACTGAACTGGACTGTTCAGCTGGTATTATCAGAATTAAGACACGCTCAGTCTGCAGCCTGCCACTACCCCCAAGAAAATCAGTCAGAAAAAACTGTACTTTCCTTTTCTTCCAAATCGTCCAAACAGATCACCATACTGCCTTGCCTGCATCTGCTTCCATCTGTGTCCACCATTCTGTATCCACCATTCTGTACCCACCATTCTGCCTTGCCTGCATCCTCTGCCATCTGTATTGACCATTCTGTATCCTCCAACCTGGTTCTGGAAAAACAAACTTAGGTGGCCGAAATCAATTAGTACATGTGCGATGACAAACAAAAATGACATGAAAACCAAATTAACTTAATCCCTACTGAATTGGACTGTTCAGCTGGTATTATCAGAATTAAGAGACGCGCAGTCTGCAGCCTGCCACTACCCCCAAGAAAATCAATCAAAAAAACTGTACTCTCCTTTTCTGTATCCACCATTCTGCCTTGCCTGCATCCTCTGCCATCTATTATCAACCATTCTGCATCTGCCATCTGTATCCACCATTCTGCATACACCAACCTGGTTCTGGAAAAAGAAACTTAGGTGTCCGAAAGCAATTAGTACATGTCCAATGACAAACAAAAATGAAATGAAAACTAAATTAACTTAATCCCTACTGAACTGGACTGTTCAGCTGGTATTATCAGAATTAAGAGACGCTCAGTCTGCAGCCCGCCACTACCCCAAAGAAAATCAGTCAGAAAAAAAATCTACTTTCCTTTTCTTCCAAATCGTCCAAACAGATCACCATACTGCCTTGCCTGCATCTGCTTCCATCTGTGTCCACCATTCTGTATCCACCCTTCTGCCTTGCCTGCATGCTATGCCATCTGTATTGACCATTCTGTATCCACCAACCTGGTTCTGGAAAAACAAACTTAGGTGGCCGAAAGCAATTAGTACATGTGCAATGACAAACAAAAATGACATGAAAACCAAATTAACTTAATCCCTACTGAACTGGACTGTTCAGCTGGTATTATCAGAATTAAGAGACGCTCAGTCTGCAGCCTGCCACTACCCCCAAGACAATCAGTCAGAAAAAAACTGTACTCTCCTTTTATTCCAAATCGTCCAAACAGATCACCATACTACCTTGCCTGAATCGGCTTCCATCTGTATCCACCATTCTGTATCCACCATTCTGTATCCACCATACTGCCTTGCCTGCATCCTCTGCCATCTGTATAAACCATTCTGCATCCACCAACCTGGTTCCTGAAAAACAAACTTAGGTGGCCGATAGCAATTAGTACATGTGCAATGACAAACAAAAATGACATGAAAACCAAATTAACTTAATCCCTACTGGACTGTTTAGCTGGTATTATCAGAATTAAGAGACGCGAAGTCTGCAGCCTGCCACTACCCCCAAGAAAATCAATCAAAAAAACTCTACTCTCCTTTTATTCCAAATCGTCTAAACAGATCACCATACTGCCTTGCCAGCATCCTCTTCCGTCAGTGTCCACCATTCTGTATTCACCATTCTGTATCCACCATACTGCCTTGCCTGCATGCTCTGCCATCTGTATTGACCATTCTGCATCCACCAACCTGGTTCTGAAAAAACAAACTTAGGTGGCCGAAAGCAATTAGTACATGTGCAATGACAAACAAAAATGAAATGAAAACTAAATTAACTTAATCCCTACTGAACTGGACTGTTCAGCTGGTATTATCAGAATTAAGAGACGCTCAGTCTGCAGCCTGCCACTATCCCCAAGAAAATCAGTCAGAAAAAAACTACTCTCCTTTTATTCCAAATCGTCTAAACAGATCACCATACTGCCTTGCCTGCATCCTCTTCCGTCTCTGTCCACCATTCTGTATCCACCATTCTGTATCCACCATACTGCCTTGCCTGCATGCTCTGCCATCTGCATCCACCATTCTGCATCCACCAAACTGGTTCTGGAAAAAAACTTAGGTGTCCGAAAGTAATTAGTATATGTGCAATGAGAAACAAAAATCACATGAAAACCAAATTGATTTAATCCCTATTGAACAGGACTGTTCAACTGGCATTATCAGAATTAAGAGATGCACAGTCTGCAGCCTGCCACTACCCCCAAGAAAGTCAATCAAAAAAACTATCATCTCCTGTTATTCCAAATCGTCTAAACAGATCACCATACTGCCTTGCCTGCATCCTCTTCCGTCTGTGTCCACCATTCTGTATCCACCATACTGCCTTGCCTGCTTGCTCTGGCATCTGTATTGACCATTCTGCATCCACCAACCTGGTTCTGAAAAAAAAGACTTATGTGGCCGAAAGCAATTAGTACATGTGCAATGACAAACAAAAATGAAATGAAAACCAAATTAACTTAATCCCTACTGAACTGGACTGTTCAGCTGGTATTATCAGAATTAAGAACAAAAATGAAATGAAAACCAAATTAACTTAATCCCTACTGAACTGGACTGTTCAGCTGGTATTATCAGAATTAAGAGACGCACAGTCTGCAGCCTGCCACTACCCCGAAGAAAATCAATCAAATAAACTGTACTACTGCCTTGCCTGCATGCTCTGCCATCTGTATTCACCATTCTGCATCCACCAACCTGGTTCTGGAAAAAGAAACTTAGGTCTCCGAAAGCAATTAGTACATGTGCAATGAAAAATAAAAATGACATGAAAACCAAATTAACTTAATCCCTACTGAACTGGACTGTTCAGCTGGTATTATCAGAATTAAGACACGCTCAGTCTGCAGCCTGCCACTACCCCCAAGAAAATCAGTCAGAAAAAACTGTACTTTCCTTTTCTTCCAAATCGTCCAAACAGATCACCATACTGCCTTGCCTGCATCTGCTTCCATCTGTGTCCACCATTCTGTATCCACCATTCTGTACCCACCATTCTGCCTTGCCTGCATCCTCTGCCATCTGTATTGACCATTCTGTATCCTCCAACCTGGTTCTGGAAAAACAAACTTAGGTGGCCGAAATCAATTAGTACATGTGCAATGACAAACAAAAATGACATGAAAACCAAATTAACTTAATCCCTACTGAATTGGACTGTTCAGCTGGTATTATCAGAATTAAGAGACGCGCAGTCTGCAGCCTGCCACTACCCGCAAGAAAATCAATCAAAAAAACTGTACTCTCCTTTTCTTCCAAATCGTCTAAACAGATCACCATACTTCCTTGCCTGCATCCTCTTCCGTCTGTGTCCACCATTCTGTATCCACCATTCTGTATCCACCATACTGCCTTGACTGCATGCTCTGCCATCTATATCCACCATTCTGCATCCACCAACCTGGTTCTGGAAAAAGAAACTTAGGTGTCCGAAAGCAATTAGTACATGTGCAATGACAAACAAAAATGACATGAAAACCAAATTAACTTAATCCCTATTGAACTGGACTGTTCAACAGGTATTATCAGAATTAAGAGACGCACAGTCTGCAGCCTGCCACTACCCCAAAGAAAATCAACCAAAAAAAGTGT